ACTGCTACGTTCCACTGTCAAACATTTATGTCCAAAGAGGAAGTAAATTAACCGCTGCTACCCATTACCCCTTCTCCTTTAATATATAAAGTAATTTCCCCACGGGGATTATTAAAGTATTCTGATTCTAATGGAATAAATAATATTAGATTGTTGCACCCATACTTTTCAGTCTCTTTAAAGCGCAGCTCAGACCAAAGATTCACGATGAGACAAAAATCGCTCTAGAACGTTGAACAGAAAAGTTGTGGCAGTAGCAAAGTCAGCTGGTCCAGTCAGTTACAACCTGTCAGCTGGTCGAAATGCTGATGGAGGAAAGAGAGGATCACCTCATCACAGCCATGTCTGTATGACACAAGCCTTAAAATGTACTCAAATAAAAAGGACACCAATGGACAGCTCCAAAATGCCACTGTACCAAGTAACTCACTATCACTATGCTCATTCATATTTTAAGACACTATAAATTATATCCAGCTAAAACAGAATGGAAAGCTGGCTGTTAGAACGGAAGTAAAGAGTCATTGCTATGGAGACAATAAACCGTCCTGTCTCGTTGCATTGGTGTAAATAGGCGGGTTTGCAGAATGTTGCAGACCAACACATTGCAAGTAATTGCAAGTTTTAACTCGTTTGGTCACCAAATCTTTGGTCTGAACTAGGCTTTAAAGATAGGAACTGAACATTTGTTGAAAAAAGTTAAATCATTTATTTTTCATTGCATGTGTGCAACCTTGTTTATTTACTGTTTCCAAGGAAATGACTGAACGCAGCCAGGCTGTACAGGTGCAGAGGCAGCTCTCTGGAGTGTGTGTTCAGCCGCACGACATACTTGCTTTCAACATCAGGCTCATGAAAAACACTGACTAATTTAATTCCAAATGTTATATTATAGAAAACAGAATTGGGGCAATTCTGGAAACGCCAACATTTTTCCATACTCTGTTCTGATATGTAGGTCAGAAATATAGCGTGGAAAGAACTCCATTTCATCCATGTGAGTGTGGTTAGTTAGTAGTGCATAGTGAGCGTGCAGTATACCTCAGAGCATTGTAGAAAGCGATGGTCTTTCCATAAGTGATCACAAGAATCTCTCCATCAGCCACATACTCCATGCTGCTCACAGAAGTGTCGAATGTCAGCGTTTTCACCTCCTCCATGGAGCTTCTGTCCCACAGTCTGGACACACATACACACACATACACACACATAGGCTATTACTTCCAAAAGGTCTTTGGTGTGTTTGCTGTGAGAGCTCTCTGCCAGCATAGAGCAGACTCAGTCAGGATGAGGACTTTTGAGCACGAGCAGCCACCTCACTGACCGTATGGTTTTGTCCTCGGAAGCAGAGAGGATCTGCTTGTCGTTGTTACACCACAAGGCTTTCTTTATGGCTGAGGAGTGACCTGCAATCTCCTGAGGTGCTTAAGGACACAAAGAGGCGACAGCTGATTACATGAGCAGGCAAAGATGATATAACACAAATATCAGAGTTTGAGTGGCATAACTTCATCATTGTGTCACTTTGGTTTGAGAGAAAAAGAGAAAGTGGTGCTTGAGTGACATGGAGATTTAATGAGGAGAGGGGGTGCAAATGAAAGTCTACATGTACCCATGTTTAACTTTGCATGACTGAGTTTTGGTATATGGTTAATGGACCTGTACTTGTATAGCGCCTTTCTAGTTTTCTGACCACTCAAAGCACTTTTACACTAATTCACCCTTTCACACACATTCAGTCAGTGATGGCAAATATAATATCATAATAAGCTAATATATTACTATATATACTATAAATATAGTAAGTATAACTATATTATATACTATACTAGTATGGTATATATACTCCGGTATGCGTAGACGATCTCAGTTCAGTCACTGTACCAGTAACACTGCCCCTTACTAATCCATCGCTCAGCTGAAAAACAGAGCATCCCGATACATGCCCCTTAATTAAACATGGAGATGGAATTAATCAATAGCAAAATTTGAAAATCCATCACCTTTGAGAGAGGTTACTCATGGTGAGCGCTCTGGCCTGAGTCAAAAGGTACGTCTGTCTGCTGGTCGCTTGGGCGGAGCACCAAACTACGTGTGTATCAAAGCCGTACATCCAAGTGACTTGTACCTACAAGTCAGTGGGCTGAAGACTGCTCTCCTTATCATTCTGCTCCAAGGATCCATTTAGTTGACTAACTACATACCTCCACCGATCGAGTTCATTGAGTAATGTGGGCGTCCGACTTCTGACCAAAAAAGAGAATCGTTTGGAATAAAAAAACAAGAACATTTTTATCTTTCGCTCCATCGATTCTTTTTTAAAATGAGGATTCCTAAATATCTTTCCGTGTCTGACTTTCTCCAGTGTGATCGCTCTAATGCTGCTAAGAGGGTGGTGGAATGCAGCTTCCACCAAAAACAGGCCATATTCTACGCCAGAGACAACAGAAAGAGCTCTGTGAAGATCTTCGAGCATCGAAAAGGGCTTGAGCACCTCGCACAGCCAGACCCACTTCTAAGTGACTTAAAAACGGTCCAGGTGGTAGGATTTAGTGCTATTTAGCTTCCTTCCAAGTGTGAAGGACAAAGTACTTGTAGCTGCAAACTGCGAGAGCAGGTAGCTGAGAACAGCGCTCTGTAGGTAGATGTAAAAGGACACGTGCCAGGAGGAGCCGGGGATCGAACCAACAACCTTCCGATTGGGGGACGACCCGCTCTGCTTCTGAGCCACAGCCGCCGTTTTCTCTTTGACAGATTCACTTACCTGCTTCAGGGTTGCTAAGATCATAGATGCGCAGCAGCTTGTCATTTCCTCCAGTCAGCAAACAGTTGCTGTCCTGGGAGCAGAGGCAGAAATATATTGAGAGGCAAGAGCAGTTTTAGAAATATCCCCAATGGCTATTCGATTAGTTGTCAACTTAATTAATAATGAATAAATTATTACCAACTATTTTGATAACTTTTTAAGAAAAAGTCAAAATTCTCTTATTTCAGCTTCTCAAATGTAAATGTAAATTTTCTGGTTTCTTTGGTCCTCTGACAGTAAACTGGTAAACAGCGATCAACATTTTTTTCACCAATTTCTGGACCAAACAACTGATCAATTAATTGAGGATATTATTGACAGATTAATCACATCCACATAAATATGTACAGAAAGGATCAGATTGTAAGCATGTTATTTTAAGACCCCATCCAAATCCAGACACTGCACTGACCTGAGTGAAGGTGACAGTCTTGACGATGTGTTTGTGTGCCAGTGTGAGGACCTCGTCCCCACTCACTGCGTCCCACACCTTTCTGAAAGGCAGAGGTCAGCTTTTAATACTGCTGCAGGGATTTCATCATATTTATCTTTGCATACAATGCTTAGAAGACACAGATACTTTATATATATATATATTATAAGGTATATATATATTATAATATATAGTATTATATATATATATTATATATATATATTTACTGCTGATAGACTGATCTCAGTTCAGTCACTGTACAGTACCACTGCCCCTTACTAAATCCATGCTGCTCAGTGAGAAACAGAGCAGTCTTATAATTGCTACATTAATTAAGTACAATGGAGATGGAATTAATTCAAGTAGCAAAAATAGTTTGAAAATCCATCAGCCTTTGAGAGAGTTACCATTGATGCTTTTTTGACGCTGGTCAAAAGGATCCAACGTCTGTCTGTGGTGTTGGGGGAGCATATCTACGTGTGTATAAAGCCGGACTCAAGTGATGTCACTCAAGTCAGTTGGGCTGAAGACTGCTCTCTTATGTCGTTGCTCCCAGGATCCATTAGTGACTACTAGCATATCTCCAACCGACTGAGTGCATGAGGGTAATGTAGGCCGTCGATTTGACAAAAAAGAGGACGTTTGCGAATAAAAAAAGAAAGGGCATGTCTGAGTTTTGCTTCATCGATTCTTTTTTTAAAATGAGTGGATTTCTCTAAAGATATTTCCGTGTCTGACTCCTCCAGTGTTTATCTGCTCTATGCTGCTTGAGGGTGTGGACTGCAGCTTCCAACCAAAAAACAGCCTATATTCTACGCAGGAAAACAGAAAGACGCTTCGGTGAAATCGTTGAGCATCGAAAATGGGCTGATGCACCGTCGGCACAAGCCAGACCATTTAAGTGACTTAAAAATTCAGTGTGTAGGTTATGCTATTTACTCCATTCAAGTGTGAAAGGACAAAGATACTTGTAGCTGAAACTGCAAGAGAGAGTAGTTGAAAACATGGCCAGGCTCTGTAGGAGATGGTAAAGGGACCTGTAACTTGTATAGCGCCTTTCTAGTCTTCCGACCACTCAAGGCTTTTACACTACGTGCACACATTCACCTGTTCACACACATTCACTCACTGATGGCCAAAGCTCATCAACAGAAACTAACTCATTCATACACATTCCGATTGCTATGCATCAGGAGCAATTTGGGGTTCCAGTATTCCTTGCTCAAGGATACTTCTACACCGTGGCAGGAGAGCCGGAGGATCGAACCAACAATCCTTCCGTTGGGGACACCCGCTCTGCCCTGATCCCAGCGCCACAGAGACCCATCCTCTAGATAAGAAACGCTCATTCTAAAATTTTTTATAATATTTAAGTATTTATTATTTCATTTTTTTTTATTTTTTTACAGTTGTATTTTACATTTATGTATATATATTTTTCCTTATAAATAATTATATTCATTTCGACAATTAGATCCTCCTCCTAAATGTTACACACTGGTTCTTTAATGCAACACTCAACCATTAATCTGTCAGTACACCAATCCATCTTTGTATGCATGTAACCAGAGAGAGTAGAGGGAGTATTCAGGTTGACTGGGTTAGATGTGTTTCACGAGTCTATTACAGGACTCTCCACTCACGCTGTAAAGTCAGCTGCGGCGGTGGCTGCCTTGGTGGCGTCTGTGTTCAGAGTGGCTCCCCAGACAGCGCCTTTGTGACCCAGAAACGTTCCTATCCAGTCCCCTGTGTCTCCCTGGCGCAACATGGGCTTGCCATCTGGCAAAAGAAAAGCAGAGGGGACACAAGGGTTACATCCTAGGGCAGTGTACCAGGAGATGACAGCTGTAGGTATCCTTGTGGATGCTGCAGTCAACAGGTGTCTCAAAGACTGCCTCACTTTGAACAGCTGAGTCTGAACTGGCTTTCAGGAAGCTGAACACAAATTTTAATTCAGGGTTTTAAGAACAACATATTGATTGCCTATAGGAGTGAACTAAAGCTTGCACACACAATGAGTTTCCACTGTGCTACACAGCAGATGGAATGCAGCTTAACGTATTCAGTTATGGAGGTGACTAGCTAACGTTTAAACGTTAGACCATTCAAATAAACTTCATTTATAGACTGTCCATTTGTCTCACCCTTGCAGGCGCTGATCAGGAAGTAGCCGTAGGGAGTGATTCCACTAAAGGCCAGGTCCACCACAGGCCGGGTGTGACCGGAGCAGGTGAGCGGGGTCTGTCTCATCGCCATGGTCGTCCAGCCGGCAGGAGACGGTAGAACGCTGGCGGCTAGCGAACGCTAGCTGGCTGTATAAGCTAGCAGGCTACAAGAAAGAGCAGACAACGAGCTAGCTGGTGTTTCGCCGGCAGTTTCCGTTGGCCAGCGGCTGGCTGCTGGTTGGACGGAAGCTGAAGTGAATAGTGGGTCTGTAAAACTAAACGGCGGGTCTTCCTCCCAGCGAAGGAATGGCTATCGTGCTAATAGCTACAACATTGCAACTAACTAGCAACGTGCAACGCGGCGTCACTACCGCAGAGACGATATAGCCGGTGTTCCGCTAGCCGCAACAACGACACAACTTCCGCACTGGTGTTTTTCACAATAAAAGCGCCACCTCTTCAAACTGACTACAGATTGTGGTGTGTTGAATATAAAATGAATAACACATTGTAAGTAGGTTTAGGGAGCTGTAATCCATTACAGTTACAGAAAAAAAGACGTGATCAGATTACAGTTATATTTAGTAAAAAATTGGGATTATTTAGTTTTTCTTTTAAAATACACATTGTTGATGCTAAAAATCTTTCCATTTTCCTTTCTATGGTTACATTGTTCTGTTGTCTTATAGAATACACGTACATCCATACTGCTTATTGACATTTCTTTTCTCTTGTCTTTATTTAACGTCACATACATACATATATTTGATGTTGAGGTAATCCAAAAGTAACAAAAAGTAATCAAGTCACATTACTTTAATATTGTGATACTTGGATTAGGTTACTGACCTGTATTAGTATACTATAATTAGTAATTATAAAGGATAACATTTTTAAAGAAACCCTCCCAGCCTTGATTATGAGATAAATAATCAGACAAATAAATTTGTATAATATAATATTGCTATGAAATTGTGAAATAATCCAATCATATTGCAGGTCATTTTTTATTTAATTCCAATAGTTTTTATTTTAAAATGTCTATTTTCCAAAGTCTGTTTTAGGTTCAAAATGCAATTTCCCAAGGATCTGTTGCCTTTTGTTGTATAATGATAAATACATTTCCTTGATTCCTTGAAACAAATCAAGCAGGGCAAGGCAAAGACCAGGGGCACTGCACAAAATTCTGTAGTCTCTGTGGGCCCTCCTCAATCTAGGGCTCTGTATACTCTAATAATCTTCAACTGTGAAAATTCAAAGTAATATAAACAAAAAAATAAATAAAATAAAATATTTTTAAATATTTCTTGCTTTTATTTTGAAGGCTGGAAATCGAGCTCTTCACGTGCTTCATGGTAGGATAAACGCATCTCAGGTACGTTGCTGCCCCCTGCAGGAAATTAACAGCCGGTCCTCCCCGCACATAAATCACATCAACACAATAACAGTGTCCCTCCCAAACAGCGTTTCTCTTCTAGCTCTGGTTTCAGCTAATGACCCAGTTGTTAGCCTGCATTAGCCTATTTTTATCACCATAGAGAGCCAGCATTGCTCTCAAAATATGTTGTTGTTGTAAAATGTATCATATATTATGTAAGATGAAATATACTACAAACATTTCATAACAAAATCCACCTCATTGTAGAATTATAGAAGTCTAACCTACCACTGATAGAATTAACCCATTAATGTCCACAGTGGAATTCAAGTACTGGTTGAGCTAAACACAAATCCATCGAAAGTTTCCAAATCAGGCAAGTGCATAACATACTATTTTTAGTGGCTTTCTTTTCCTTTTCCAGGAAAACAACTCTAGAACAACAGGTTAGAAATGTCCAATATTCATATTTTAGATACACACATATTGTTGTCTGCCACAATATAGATTATCCCTATGGGATACAATTAGTAAATTCTAGTGACTAACCACTAAATATAGTACAGAAATGGTTGTATCTCAAAAATATATATCAACATCTTATATCAAATGCTTGGTACCATTGGATTCAGAACAACTTTAGTAATGAGTGCTTTGATACAATGTAAAGCTCTAATCAAATATCACACAAATCTGTTTGTATTTATTTTCCTGTTCAAATGAAATTAAATCAATTGTAATGTTTTAATTTGAATCAGAACGTCCCATATGTGTGCAATATATTTTCCCTGATAGCAAAAATAGTAACATTATATAAATAAATATAGGTCTATATTTAACATGTCATTTACTTTCCATGTGCTCCTGTAATTCAGCATTGTGGATATTGTCCTCTATCCTGTCCAGGACTGAAAAACTGTTGTTTTATACAATTATCTTCAACACTTATTATACAAATGAGTCCATTTCTTTATTTTTACGACTCATTAAAAGTATTGGGCCAGTGACTCAAACAATGTAATGTATTACTCGTTACTCTTTTCAAAAGTAAT